AGTGAGAGAACCCTAATCCTCCCTTGAAGAGCTTATATGTGTTTTTGGTGCCATTTTGTGAAGGTGTGAAGAGAGAAGAAGGAAGAAGCAAGGAGAAGTGTTGTAGTGCAAAGATCCAAGGCCAAATCAGAGTTAATTGAGGTATTTTCGGAGTTCCATCTTGTTATATGCTTTAAACTTCCATTAGAGCTCTCCTAAGAGCTAGTTGATGCTTGTTCCAAGCCTCACACTTGCATGAACGTCTTATTGAGTCGAAATATCTATGGATCTGAATGTTGGGTGTTGTAGAGCCCAGATCTACTGTCTTTTTGGAGTTATATGCATGATAACCATAGATCTACCCATTTTATGCATCTTTTAGCCTTATTTCCCTTATTCATGAGGTTGTGCACGTAAAGTTGGAAACTTTACGTGGTAAATCAGCTTATTGGACTCAGATCTATCAATTGTATGCATTGGATTCAAACAAAATCGAGTAAAATTAGTTGCATGGCGGCAACTCGGCGAGTCGGAAGAACGACTCGATGAGTTGGGTCGCGAGTCCCGAGTTCTTCAGTTTTATCAGTGTCGAGTGTACGAGGTGAGTTAGAGAGTGGACTCAGCGAGTTGAGGGTGAACTCAGTGATGGAGGGACTCGGCGAGTTGTTCATCAACTCGGCGAGTCCAAGGCAATCTTCTTGGGATCAAGAACAACTCGTCGAGTCTGTTCATACGACTCGGCGAGTCGGATGAAGATTGTCTGAGTTCTTGGATCAAGAGGGTACTCGTCGAGTCGATGCCAGACTCGATGAGTAGCAGTGAGTAAAAGTGAAAAGTGAGAGTAGGACTCGGCGAGTTGGGTGGCCTAACTCGGCGAGTCAGCCCAAAGGAGAATTGACTTTGACCGAGGGTAAAAGAGTCATTTTACCCCAAGCGCAGTGTTTAGTATTTGATTGAGTGTGTTTATGGATTTGTAGCCAAGGAGATTCAGGAGCAGCTGCCGTTAGCTTTCCGAGCCACACACTCAGCAGCCAGCTTACGAGGTGAGTTTCCTTCCAGTAGGAACGGGTCTAAGGCCACAATGCCGGCCCGTTCAGTTAGCAGTAGTTTCGGATTTAGGTCCGATGCAGTAGCTAGTATGTTCGATGCCTTCGTGGCTCGAACAGGATTCGTGTGCTATGTTTTATGTGTTAAGTATTATGTGTTGCGGGCCACGGCCCGATGTAGCATGTCGTATATGTGTTATGCTAGTTGATGTGTTATGCTATGCCATGTTCAGTCAGTCAGTTCCGGACATCGGTCCGATGCAGTTAGTTCCGGACTTCGGTCCGATGCAGGGGACAAGGTCCCAGTCAGTTCCGGACTTCGGTCCGATGCAGTTAGTTCCGGACTTCGGTCCGATGCAGGGGACAAGGTCCCAGTCAGTCCGGACTTCGGTCGATGCAGTCAGTTCCGGACTTCGGTCCGATGCAGTTAGTTCCGGACTTCGGTCCGATGCAGGGGACAAGGTCCCAGTCAGTTCCGGACTTCGGTCCGATGCAGTTTCCGGGCTTCGGCCCGATGCAGTGGGCAAGGCCCAATATGTGTTTATATGTTATTGTATGGTATGTGGTAGTTTGGGGGAGCTCACTAAGCTTCGTGCTTACAGTTTCAGTTTGGTTTCAGGTACTTCTGCAAGCAAAGGGAAGAGCTCGGGGTGACAGCATCGCACACACCACAGCATAGCTTTTATCCTGGGGATGTCTTTTGATGTTATGGATTGATGTTGTATGACACAGTTTTCCGCACAATATTTTATTACGTTTTGGGGATACATCGCGTATGTTTTATGTTATGATACTTATATTACGGTTTAGATTATATTGAAAAACGAAAATTTTTGGGTCGTGTTTTTGGGTCGTTTCACATTCTCACTGATGTGAATTATGATCATTGGTTTGATATGCGAAATTTGTTACATCCCATTAATATGTAGTTACAACATCGTCTGAACTCGTAATTCATAGTAAGGGGTTAGAGTATCATCACATGAATACGTAGTTACAACATCGCATGAACTCGTAATTCATCACCTACAGGTTATGGGCCTACTGGTGTTTCCCCTGGGTTGTCTAGAATAGTCCGTAGTCGTCATCTATACTCTGGTAGATGACTACATCGCCACATTGCTGGTTAAGGTTATGGTATCGCCTTTCATTCTACATCACATATTCATCATCATCTATTTACCTAATTATCACCACCTTTCGATCATCACCTATCTCTCATCATTTTATTTCATCACACACCAACTATTTCATCTACCCATGTTTCATCCGCAACATATTTGTAGATATAAAGTAAATATACCGTTTAAATCTTTTAAAACATGTATAAAATCGTTCAACCAGCATAAACAACAAGTATTCAAAAAATATGCACACATAGCACGTAATTTATATAAAATACTTCATATCTATGTGTAAGATGAAAGTAACTATATATACAATAAATGCTTCCTAACTTTGAACCCCAAGGTTTACTCTACTAAAACTTCATATTCTTGGCTCTCTGAACCTAGAAGGGTCCAGATCTATCACACCAAAAAGCTTAAGATAGCTCTTCCTCTCACTTTACACACTCAAGCTCGCTAGGGTTCTCACTTATGGGAAAGGTAGTCGTAATTGAAGGTCATAAGTGCCTTTAAATATGGCTCAAGCCCAAAGATTTAGGGTTTCTGCCAACAGCGTGGACTCATCTAGTCGCCTCACCGACTCGTCGAGTCCATTCATTAATCCGAGTCATCAGTCGCGACCTTACTCGACGAGTTGAGGCGTTAACTCGTCGAGTCTCTCTTCTTAACTCAAAAGAAAACTACTTAAATGATGATACCTGGAAATCCGGATGTTACATTTTGTTTTTTTATTTCATTGATTTTTTCATCAACAAATGTTGTTACAATTAAACAAAAATAAATAGTTTTGCTAAAACATAATACAATATGAAGTTTGTTCACATTTAGTCATTGAATTTTTTAGAGGGAAACGAACTTTCGATTTTATTCACATTTAGTTACTAAATTTTTTTTCATTATCTATTTGTCACTAAACTATTGGAATTGTTCACATTTTACCCTTATGACCGGTAACAGCCGGTCATAAGGGTAAAATGTGAACAGTTTCAATAGCTCAATGACAAATAGATAACAAAACAAAAAAAATTAATGACTAAATGTGACAAAAATCGAAAGTTCGTTATCCTTTCAAATCATTATCCTTCGAAGAATTTATCTATTATTGAATCACACCATACCTTTGTAATTCCTCACTTCAAGATGGATTAATGGGCCTGCAGATATTTTCCATAATAGGCCCAAAATTGCTGAACGAGCACCATTTAAATTCCAGAGAACTCTAGAAAAACTCAAATAGTAACAAGTTTACAATAAATAAATAATAATCGATAAATCGAGAAAGATCAGATACGTCACCTTAGTCACGGACCCACTTCTCAACACTTCTAGAAATTTCTGTATCCACCCTCAACTATCCTATATATACACATTACCCCTTATTCTTCTTCATCAAAGTTTCTTGACAAGAAAACATGGCTCAATGTCAGACCACACTCCCATTGTTCTCTCAAAGAATCACAACCCAAAGATCAAACCCTTCATCTTCAATTTTCATCCCAATTACTCACAAAAAGAATTCTAATTTCACCATCATAAAAGCAGACGCAACAAACGGGGATCGGTTACAGAGAACAAGCATCAAGAATCAGCAACCCATCAAAAAGAGAGTCGCCCAATCCCCACCAGTTGGTAAGTTTCAGTTTAAGATTTAATTTACACAACTTTTTTCTTATATATGTGATATGATGAAGCAAAATTCTTTAATATGAAATGAAAGAACCAATCAAGATTCAAATTTTCCAACTTTTTTCTTCCATTTCTGATATGGGAATGTATAATTATTTACATTTAAGATATTTTCCATCTTTTTTTTTCCAATTTCTGATATGGGTGTATACAATTCTTGAAACATGAGATTAAAGAACAAATAAAGATTCAATCTTTCCATCTTTTTTTTTTTCAATTTTTGATATGGGTGTGTACGTTTCTTCAATATAACATAAAGAAAATAACCAAGAATCAATCTTTGCAACATTTTTTCTTCCATTTCTGATATGGGTAAGCAAAATTCTTGACATATAAGATGAAAGAATCAATCAAGATTCAAAATTTCCAACTTTTTTCTTGATTTCTGATAAGGGTATGTATCATTTATGATTCACCAACATGACATCGAGAAATACTAACCAAGATTCAATCCTGCTGTGTATAGGGTTATGGGATAGATTTCCGACAGCAAGAACAGTTCAGCAAATGATGGACACAATGGACAGACTAATGGAGGAGCCACTGGCATACAACGGTGGCGGAAATGGTGGTGCGTGGGGATCTCAGGGACAGGGTACAAGCAGTTACAGCAGGGGAAGGACTCCATGGGAGATCAAAGAAGGTGAAGAGGACTACAAGTTGAGATTTGATATGCCTGGAATGACGAAAGAAGATGTAAAGGTGTGGGTGGAAGAGAAGATGCTGGTTTTGAAAGCAGAAAAAGTGAAGAAAGACAACAATGGTGAAAGCAATGGGGAAGCCATTGATGAGGGGGAATGGAGCCCTAAAAGCTTTGGGAGGTATAGTTTTAGGATTGCATTGCCTGAAAATATACAGTTTGAGAAGATTAAGGCTGAGGTTAGAGATGGGGTTTTGTATGTAACGATACCTAAAGCACCTGTTTCTTCTAAGGTGTTGGATATAAGTGTGCAATGAGTAGAAAGCAAGCAATTTTCAAGATTTTGTTTTTACGAGTGTGAAAGAAAATTTCAAAGCCTTAAATACTTATTGATGAAAATTTTGGCTATTTAAAAATTGTTAATGGCAAATTAAAAGTTGGTAATGTTGATTAGTTAAAGGGAATATGATTTATTAAGGTAATTAATTTTTCAGTATATTTATATCTGGGTATTTATCTTTTTTTTTGTATATATCTAGCTAACAAACTTGTTGGAAGTGTTAATATATGATCATTATGATCTGATATAGCAGGTTAAATACTAGATGTGAATGCTTTCAACAAGTTCGTTACCTAGATGTGTACAAAAAAACAGTTACCCAAATATGAACAATACGAAAAGTAAAAATTAAATCACACGAATCGTCCCTATGATTTGGGGGAATTTATGTTTTTGATTCCTAAATCATTTTTTTTTTAATTTGGATGGTCCCTACTGTTTATTTTTGTTGTGCGTTTGGTCCCTATCATACCTAAAAAGATTATTACGCTCTTATTAATTTTTTTTTAATTAATTTTCTTATTTATGTATTTATTTTTTACATATTTAAAAAAATTAATAGATCACACATATTTGTATCTCCTCGGATTATCCATACTGTTTATTTTTTAATTAATTTATTTTTTTGACTCTGATGATTTCTATTATATAATTTTGTTACGAGCTTAGTCTCTGTCTTACCTAAAGAAAAACTATTGTGTTCATATTAATTTATTTTTATAATTAATTTTCTTGTTTATGTACTTATGCTTTATATATTTAATAAAAATTAGTAGATCTCACATATTTGTATTTTCTCATCATCCCATCTCTCATCATTCTCAACTTCTATTTAGTTTCCATCTTTAGTGATATCGACGTCTTCATCATCACTTTTTTTTTTTTCTGTCCTTCAACTTCGTCGAATCAACACCACAACCCACTAAAGATGAAGATACAGTAGGTTATGGTGTCGGTTTTGCCAGAGTTGAAGTACCAAGAAAAGAAGGATGATGAAGACATCTATGTTACTAAAAATGGAAAAGAAATAAAAGTTTGGGAGGATGAGAGATGAGATGGTGACCAGTAAGACTCAAATTAAAATTTTCAAATGTGGTTTCAGGTTTACGGTGAGAAGATATAGATATGTGGGGTATATTAATTTTTTTAAATATATAAAAAAACAAATACATAAATAAGAAAATTAATTAAAAAAATTAATAAGGGAAAAATAGTCTTTTTAGGTAAGACAGAAACCAAACGCATAACAAAAATAAACAATAGGGACCATTAGAGTTCAAAAAATAATTAAAAATAAACAGTAGGGATCATCCGAGGAGATACAAATATATGTGGTCTATTAATTTTTTTAAATATGTAAAAAATAAATACATAAAGAAGAAAATTAATTAAAAAAAAATATTAATAAATGCACAATAGTCTTTTTAGACAAGACAGGACCAAACGCGCAACAAAAATAAACAGTAGGGACCATCCAAGTTAAAAAAATAAGTTAGAGTTCAAAAACATAAATTTCCCAAAACCACATGGACCATTCGTGTAATTTAATTTTTACTTTTTATTCTGTTCATATTTAGGTAACTATTTTTTTGTACACATATAGGTAACGAACTTGTTGAAAGCGTTCACATCTAGGATTTAACCAGCTATAGCAGGTCATAATGGTCATATGTGAACACTTCCAACAAGTTTGTTACTTAGATATGTACAAAAAAAAAGATAGTTACTCAAATGTGAACATACCGAAAAATTAATTACCTTAATAAGTCATATTCCCTTAGTTAAATGATAAAATTGATCCGGTTTAGCATTAGCTCGAAGTAAAGCATTATCAACTATGAAAAATGAATATTCGTTTTCCTACAATCTTTTTAAGTGTCATTTTATGATATTTTTTAAATAAATATATTATCTACATCTTAATTGTTAGGTTTTTCAAATTTTAAAATTAAAAAACCACATAATATTTATATATTTATATAAGTAAAATATGAAATTGCAATTAATATTTATATATTTATATGTAAAATATTAAATTGCAATTAATATATTTTACATATATTTATATTCGTAAAATATATATTTTACATATATTTATATATGTAAAATATTAAATATTAAACATAAAATATTAATTAGCAATTAATATATTTCTTTATCTTTTATTTCAAATTTTATTTTAAAAAATATATTTTTTACACTTTAATATTTATTTTTTTAATCAATCTGTATAATACAAATGTTTTACACCTAATAATATAATATGTAAACTAGTTGTGAAACTTATTTATTATATTGATTTATTAAAAAAAAAAAAACATAAACATCGAACTATTTAGAAATTTTGAATTTATAAAAAAAATATAATATTAATTATTAAAATTGAGGTGTTTAGTTTTCTTTAAAATTTAAGCTACTAATTTAAATAAACAAATAACCAAAATAATTAGATTTAATTTAGAAATTTAGAAATTTCAAAATTATAAAGAAAGTTGTATTAGTGAATTAAATATACATTTATATTATTACATTTAAGTATTATAGGAAATCTAATAAAATGAAAAAACTACAAAATGACACATCTATATAATTTAATTTAAATTTATCACAAAATGGCATGTATGATAATACATAAAATGATGACAAATGATAAAATTATTTTTATTTATTACAGAGGACTTGTATTTAAGAGTTTTACACTATAAATTGTGTGCTTCTCAAGTGTTTAAGTTATCTTATGGACTAATATAATGAATGTTGTAAAAATAACATTTTTTATGGTTTTGTTCCTAAACAAATTTAAACCAAAAGGTTTTTATGCCAACAGTGTCAAGTGTTGTTTTTTTTATTTGAAGTCGAGGGTTTAAATAGAATTTCTTTGAGGTAGAGGATTCAGATACAAAACCATTATCGAAAGGGGTTGTGATAGGTTCTGGTGTAACGTTCGCGTTTCCAGGCTAGGCATTTTCGTTGATGTAATAGTCTAGGTTAACCTTTATAACCCATTTTGAAATAAAAGGAATGTATTATTTGTGAATTATGTGTTTATTTTCTTAATTATTATAATTTAATGAATTAAGAATAAATTAAGCGTCAAAATTTAAGTATTAGATAAGCCCGATATCATTGCATAAAGTTGTAGTAGCCGAAACGAGGTTTCCGTATATATATATATATATATATATATATATATATATATATATATATATATATATATATATATATATATATATATAACGCCCAAATCTGACTTCGTATGAGGAAGTTATGATTTTCTGAAGTTTCGACGTAGCAGTATGCAGCCCGAATACTCGATTTGAGATCGAGCGGTTTTTAGCCAAAGCAATCTAAACGAGAATCGAAGATCTCGTTGTTAGTAGCGAAACGATGAAAAGTTAGGCGAGAACGGACGTCGGACGAAGAAGTTATGAATTTATAACGAAGTTTTCCTGTCCCAGCCTACTAAAAATAAATAATAAAAATAAAGTCAAAATTAGCCAACAGTCTAAATGAAAGTTGTAGAGCGTAGTCTCACCTACGGGTGGATATAAAGAACGTCGAAAACGGAGTTCGTCTGAAGAAGATATGAATTTTCAAAGTTTATTAAATAATTAATATTTAAATTTATTTATTTATTCCGATATTATCCGAAGAGGAGTCACCGGACTCATCCGAAGTACGCCCAGCGTACCGCGAAGCATGACGCACCTCGCACTCGAGTTCTTCGGCTGTACGCCCAGCGTACGGTGAGGCCTCAGCCTCCTATAAATAGGATGTGAGGGTTCCGGGTATATTTGCTCAATTCTTCTCTTTTTCGTGCTGAAGCTCTACGTATGAACCCCCGAAGCCATCCCGACACCTTGGATCTCATATCCAAGTTAAGAAGGAAGTTTTACGCTCCCGAGATCCCGAGAAGTGCGATTCCTAAGCCGAAGCTCTGCCCGCGAGGAGTTCGATTTTTGTGAAGATCTTCCAGATCTGTCGAAGAATACTACTTCTACAATTCGTAGAGCTGTCCGATCATCTTCTGATCAGGTGAGTGTGTGGTTACTTTCTTCTAACGCATAATTATGAAGTATTTTATACGAAATACGTGTTATGTGTATATTTTGTGTTATATGTGTGAATGTATATTCACTTTCTTCTATCTTATAGATATGATTTATTCTCTATGAAATACGTGTTATGTGTATGTGTCTCATCTGTTGTTTGGAATATGTATTGAATGAGAATGTTATACAAGTTTTAAACTATGTATAAAAATATATATTTTTATCTACTAATATATCGGGTAGAACATGGGTAGATAGTTGTGTGATAAACAGATGAGAGGCCTCGATGTTGTTTTTGATTCAGTCATCTAGCGGAGTTTAGATGACGACCACAGACTTTTTTAGACAGTCTTGTGGAACACTAGCAGGCTCGCCACCTGTAGGTGTTAATGAACTTGGGTGTTCATTCATTGTACTCTATCCCCCTCATGGTTGCTTTATTTGACATATATTGCCGGGAAACCCCCGAATGCATGTGTTGTCGCCCCGATGAAATATTCTAATACTAGGTCCCTTGTGTTAGTTGTTTTAGGGACATAAAGTGAGAATAACGGGAATGGGTAATTGGGTTATTTGTTGGTTGATGAAAATTAATTTAATTATTTATTGTGGGTTGAAAACCCTATATGCTCACCAGGCTCCCAAGCCTGGCCGACTTAGTTTTATTTGTATTACATGAAGTGGCGTAAGGGCATAAGACGGATGAACTATCAAGTTGTTTTGTTTACAAGTCTGTATATGTATATATTTGTTAAATGACTTGTAATGTTATCATTTATGCTTTATGGTCTGTATCGGAACATGACATTTCGAGTTTTGATTATATAATGAAAGTACATTTCTTTTATGAAATGCTTTGGTAAATATTATTTTATCATACTTTATTTTTTGGGAAAAAATTCCGCAACTCTTTCAAATCAAAAGGATTTACTCTGAAATTATTTTAAAAGCATAAATGAAAATCGGTCTTTTCTGGCCGAGATTTTGGGGATGTCACAGTTGGTATCAGAGCATTAGTTTAAGCGAACTAGGAATTTGTAGGATTTGTAGACTTAAACTTAGAATGCT